TACAGATACAGAGGTCCGGGTTCGATTCCCGGCGCTACCAGTTTTTTTTTCTGAGAAGTAGTTGGGTGAGGGGCTATGCTACAAGCCGGAAGGTCGCGGGTTCAAATCCCGATGAGGTCATTGGATTTTTTCAATTGACCTAATCCTTCCAGCGGCACTATGGCCCTGGGGTTCACTCAGCCTCTAAAAGAAAGGAGTACCAGGAATTAATTAAATAATTTTCCTGGGCAGTAAAACACGGCTGGCGCTTAAGACTGACAACCTTACCGCCATCTTTGAGCCGATTGTCTAGATAATGTGTGACCTCAACGTCTCACAACCCTATGGGCCTTCACGGCCTGGTACAGGAATAGTTTTACGTTTTACCATATAAATACGTGTAGGGGAAGTGGAGGTAAAGATTCACATATTCCTCCGTGGCTTTTAGTCCGCAAGCAGAATATACAGCCGAGCGACCGCCGCTTGTCGGCGAAGTTAGTGCCAACTTTAGCGGATAGAGGGTGTCGCGTGGTTAGCGCAACGGATCGCCACGGCCGTTAATCTCGGTTTTCTAGACTGGTCACATGTTCCTACTCTTGTGATTTGATAGAGCGTGGTAGATTCATTCTGTAATTTTATTTTATCCCTAATAAAATGACACCAGATCCCGTAGGACGTGGAGTGAAACATTGGTCGTTAAATTATTTTCATCGACAGCAGGCAGGTATTAAGAATGCATCAAACAGAAGAAAAAGGGAAATTGTAAAGGAGTTTATTACTTTAGAACATTGAGCTGTAAAGGGAGTGAGTCAACGAAAAAATAAAATATTTGCAAAAAATTGAGGTGGGAAATAGTGTGTTATGACACTTTGATTCAAAGTGCCCTGTGGGAAGCGGCTTCAGTAATGACTGCTCTGCACTGACAGCGACAATTTTTTTTCAACTTACAGAATCCTGACTGGAGAAACCTGTAAACGTACAAGCAGTGTAGCAGAAATTTTCTCGCGAAACCAATAATCGGTCATCTTGTCAAAACATACCCCGACTTTTATGGGACCGAAAATTTCAATATCGGGGTTAACAAGAGCCCACCACTGGCCTCTGTCCATATCCAAATTACTCCAATCCACGCCCTTTCATTCTACGTATTTCTGTAACATTATTCTCCCATCTAAGCTTAGGTTTCCAGACCTAGTTCCCATCATACCTCTCTGTCTATGGCTCTACAGTCATTTGTTGTACTTTGGCTGCCTTTCAGTTTCTTAATCCTATACACAGTAGTAAGAGCTCCTCTGACGGGGGATCAGCCCGTCGAAAGGCCTCTACCTAACACAAACAGAATAAACACAGACGCAGACATCTGTACCCTGAGTGAGATTCGAAACCTCGATCCGAGCGTTCGAGGGAGTGAAGACAGTTCATGCCTTTGACCGCGCGGCCGCTGTGTTCGGCAGTTCCCCTCACACAGTCAGACTAAATTTTGCATACTTCTTCCATCATCCCCACGCGTGCCACACGTTCCGTGCGGCTTATCCTCCTTGAACTGATCACCGTGAAAATGTCTGCTGAAGAATGCATTTCATAACGTTTCTGGTTACTGAATTTTATTTAGCCTTCTCTTGCTTCTCCGAAGCCGGGATGGTGGCTGGCTATGGGCTCGATGACCGAGGGGTCGGAGTTCGAGCCCGGGTAAAGTAAAAAATTTGTCCCTTCTTCGCAGCGTCCAGACCGGCTCTGAGGCCCACCCAGCCTCATATCCAGTTGGTAACGGGGTAAAGTGGCCGGGACATGACGCTGACCACCCACCTCCAATTAGTGCCGAGGTCAAGAATACGTGGATCTATACATCAACTCCCACATACACCTTCATGGTGTAATACTTAATTAGTTAAGCACAGGGACAACTTTACCTTACCTTTTACCTTTTTGTTGTCCAACCAAATATTCTCATCTACACTCTGTCCTCAGACACAGTCAATTTGAGAACTTTCCTTAGATGAAGGGAACATGTCTCACGCCCATCCAAAACAACACGTAATATGTATTATACAGTTTTATATTAGAGTATTTACGTTTTTGGATAGGATTTGGAAAATTCTTTTTCGTATGTTGAACTTAGGCTGTTTCAATACGTACGAGTATGATCAACCGTCACAAAAACTTACGTTAAAAAAAAATTAATCTTTCTATATACAACTGCACACTATAAATTTCATCCTTAAACTGTAATCATTGAATGAAATACACAAATCAGTCCAAATATCTATAATATAAGTGCAAAATTTTTTGAAACATATGAAGTACAACTTTTGTTGCTTAGAGAGTGATTAATTATGCCTGACCATACTTAACATTACGTGCACGTAAGTACAGAATTGGCAGTCCGCGTACCAGTGCACGTATTCACGGCCGTTTTTTTGAAGTTTGCCTAGTTTAAATCTTATTATATAAAGTAGTCACTTCTCTCTCCTTTTCTGTGCCTTTATCTCCGCGCTTAAAATCTTGGGCTATTTCAATCCCACCTCTGAAAGGCCCGGAATGTAGAGGTCTCATTTTCTACGACGGAATTATGCAGCCAAAATGTTGTCAACGATTGCTGCAGGCGATTTGAATGTGTAAGGTTAATATTGTTATCGACATGAATCACTCATGTTAAGCAGCTACAGGAGGATCACATGTGATACATTTGCACATGGATTGGACAGTTCGAGACAAGACTTTCGCGAAATACTGTGTTATTCAACAGATATTCCTTTTATTCGCTGTTATGAAATGAATACTTATTATTATTATTATTATTATTATTATTATTACTTTAGTTAGCACTGAAATGTTCGTATTGATCTCAACATATATTTACCTTTGATCTGGGATACGTTACACAATGAGCTTCATAATTTTTAACTTTTAAGAAATTCTGTAAGAAAAATTCGATCTAGGAGGAAGGGCACATGTAACTCTCCTGAGGAAATGGGTAAATAAATGTGCAGTTATTATCTGAAAGTCTGAAGAGAATATATCACTTGTGAGAATACGTGTGGACGGGAGGATTTTATTAAAATTGATTTTACAAATATAGATTGGAAGATTTCGGACTGGATTTATCTGCTTTAGGCTTCTGTGAACACGGAAAATAAAGCCTTTATTTCTACAACGAAAATAATTGTTTTGACCAGCTGTATACATACCAAACTCCGTGGCTTTAGTCCTCAAGCAAGTTACTGCCAACTTTAGCGGATAGGAGGTGTCACGTGGTCAGGGCAACTAATCTCCACGGCCGTTAATTTCGGTTTTCTAGACCGGAACCGCTACTTTTCCATTCAAATAGCACCTCAATTAACCTCATGAGGCTGAATGGACCCCGTTCTAGACCCACTACTTCTCAGAAAATCTGGTAGTGCCGGGAATCGAACCAGGGGCCTCTGGATCTGTAGCCAGGACGTCTATCTCGGAAAACAGAATCCACTCCACGGAGTTAGGAGTACTGATACAACTTTCGATTTTCCAGGTTTCGCTTCACTGTATGATGTCAGAAAACTGAAACTGACGTTCTCTGATATGAATAACTTTCCCAGATAAATAGTTACATTATTAAAAAATACTTCAGGGGAAGAGGCATTTAAATCGCTTGAGCGCAGAAGACCACAGTAGATCGATATGAGTTAGACAGAGGGGCAGAAGGTGGATACAAACTCTGATTAGTAACTGAGGCTAATAACCCGCTCAATGTGAGCACGGCGATGACGTTCGGAGTCATTAAAAATAGAAAATTCGTTAATCGTACGTAAAAACATATTTTCTTAAGAGATACCCAGCAGTTTGGAGTCAGGTGAAGAGCAACGGAGTTTGTTTCAATTTTTATAACGTTTTCGACAACTGATGTTAATATTTTGGCAGTATTTGCCAGCTGTTCTCTCAAATATTAACATTAGAGTCACCAGAAAAGAAAAAAATATTAAATAGATTGAAAATATATTATTATATTATATATATTATAGCACATTTCATTTCAATGAAAATTAATATATACGAATTTTTATAAGTTCCGATTGGTGATAGTTTTTCCTTATTTTTGTATGGAGAACTTCTTTGGAACACATCCTAATACCGATGTATAGTTTATCTCCTTGTTGACGATTTAGAAGTTAACAAGAATGATGGTGATGATAACAGGATATTCATGATGGTATTTTTAGAGGCTCTGTTGTTGCAAATTAATTTTTGTTGAGTTGAATTTGGTGTAATTTTTCAAGCCTTTTATGTGTATGTATACACGTATATGAAGATATATGTATACACAGATATAGACACTAACTGATTACTGAATGCGATGGCACCGTTTCCTAGAGCATATTCATCAGCCTTTGAGAACTGACGCTCTACCGGAGAACATGAGGTCTCGAAAAGGACTGTCATTAATAAATAATATAATAAATAATATATAAATATAATAAATAATATATAATAACAATTTTTTTAATATATTTCCTGTAAAAAGAGGAATTGTATTTACTATGCTTTGGATCTATTTTTATCTTTGACAAAATGAACACTGGGACGGATACTAGTCTATAGTATCTAGTCAGAGATCCGTGGCTTGAAGTTCGATATTCTGATAACCAGACTCATATATAGGATACCATTACGCTTAGTTTGTCTCAGTTACCTTACTTGTGCGAGCAAGGAACTTCGAGGGCCAGATTTAAGGGGGAGGTAACGGGGCGGTCACCCCGGGGCCTCCACGAAACAGAAATAGAATCAACAGAATTTATTGAGGCATTTGCTTCTCTAAAATCACGAAAAGTTAGTTTATATTTCCAGTTATTTTAAACAAAAATTTTATGAACTAAATTTCTTATTACTGTTAAGGGCCTCCAAATTTTGATTGCCCCAGAACCCCTACAACTATAAATCCGACCCTGAGTGCTTCCTCAAAATACGATGCGCTTTTCACTTATCTGTTTATTACAAATTCTAAAATTTATGAGGAAGCGGGGCAAGTTTTGAAAATGGTGACGTACCTTCTGTGTGTGCTGGTAGCTGAGAGTAGCTGAGTTCAGGGGTCCGGACTTCAGGCGTCGGTCGGTCTGTATCTGTGTGGACCCGATATTCTGGATGTCCTCACTCTTATATGAGACCTCCCGGCGCCCACGGTGACGCTCTCCACCCCGCGCGCGGCCACGCGTACAAGCGCAATAGACCGCTGTCACTCATCTCCTTACGAAGGGGTGGCAACTTGTTGTGGGGGTGGTACAGACTACCATTCTTCATTTTAAGGAAGTAATTAAACAAGGAGAAATATCACATTGCGAATACTTCTGTGTTGAGTGTGCCTGGTCGCTCATAATTATTTCAGTTAGTTCTGAAAGTGATGAACCGTTTGATTATTTTACACTGTGCTACCTAATCTCTTAGTTCAGTGACTCTAAATCCATGGTCTGCGGACCTCGGCAGGTCCCCAAATTGCAGTATGATTACGTTTTATTCACTTTACCATAATAACTTCATATATAATCATGACGTAGCGTTGGGTTAAATGAACAGAATGCTAGATCAGGGCCGCGCCATAGCTCAAGCGGTTAGTCGCTGGCTTCCCACCGTGGCGGCCCGGGTTCGATCCCGGGTCTGGTCAAGTGGGATTTATGATGGACAAAGAGGCGCTGTGGCAGGTTTTCTCCGAGTACTTCGGTTTCCCCTGCCAATCTTCATTCCACCAATTGCTCGACAATCACCATCACCTATCATTTGGGGCTGGTACATTAGGTCAGAAGTGGCCGCAGTACAAGGAACTTAGTACCACCCCACTAGCAATAAAAAGAGGCTGGATCTGGTTTATTTCTAAATTGCGTACACAGAGGATGCCGAATATTAACAAACTCATGAGGTTAAATAGGTCTACTTATACTTTAAAAATGTTTATAATAATAAAAACTTTACACATTGAAATATTTAAGTTCGCACGTTCACAGGTGTCTTATTAGTGTCCTGCACTTCCTTGCGCATGCGTCTCCCAGACGGATGATACAGCTTCAGTACCTTATCATTCTCCATTGATTTTTTTTTTGTCAGAGATGTCTGGACTGCAGAAGTTTATTTGGATCGTTCTGTTGGACCACCTGTTGCTGTTGAATGTCAGGAATCTCTTCTTATGCCGCAAACACATGTTGCTGTGAATTTAAACACATTAGAATCGTCTTTAAAACATTGACAGCCTCCGGTTCCTGTGCTAGGATCTCATGATACGGGAAACCGAGGCTGTGCGTGTGTATGTATACTTGATTTTAGCTGGATACCTATTTAATGGTTAACTAACCACTTCTTTTGATAGCTGGTTAGATAGCTAGATAATTAATTCGTAGTTAGTGTTAAGTAGTGGTTGAACACCTGCCAAATGGATCTTAGAGAGATAGGATGGGATGGGATGGGATGGATTGGATTGGATTGGATAGATCTGGCTGAGGATAGGGACCAGTGGAGGGCGCTTGTGAACACAAAAATGAACTTTCGGGTTCCATGAAATGTTGGGAAGTTCTTGAGTAGCTGCACAATTGGCGGCTTCTCAAGAAGGGCTCAGCTCCATGAGTGAGTGAGTGCTAAGTAGTTATTCAGTTATGCAATCTCTAGATTAATTAATTGAAAATTTAATTCCTTGTCTTCTAGTTAGCTAATTAATTAGTTAATTTAATTAATTTGACATTTAATTTCTCGCGGCAGTAAAGACTTAGATCACTGTGTTTTCGGGCGTGACAAGTTGTAGTTTGGTGGATAGGTACCAATGTTTGGGACGAAACTATTTAGCACAGTACAAGGCGTCACGTCTTAATTAGCTAGTTAATTGTATATTTATATACTTAGTTACTTAGTACTTGGTTATTTTATGGCACTACTAGGACGGCCCCGTCAATTGTTTATTGTGGTACTACGTTAAACGCTTCATAAAACAGGCAACAATTGTGACGTCAGACGCTAGAACGAGACAAGCCTGTGTACCTTCGCTAAGATAGTAACAAGGAACGAGTTCTAAAACACAGCATTAGTTTCGTATGGATTAATAACTAAATATATTCCAAACATTTAGTTGGGGCAATTTGATGGTTTCACAACTTTACTTTATTTTATTCTTGGAGTCGGGATAGCTTAGTCGGTGTAGCGAGTAAGCAACGGGGTGGACGACCCGGGTTCGATTCTCCTCAATGCAAGATTTTTGTCCTCTCTACAGCGTCGAAACCGACTGTGGGACCCACCTAGCCTTCTACCTATTGGACATCTATGGTTTTCCCCGGGGTTAAAGCGGCAGAGGCATGAAGCTGACCACTCACCTCCATCTAGTGCCGAGTTCAAGAATCGTGGAATTATACCTCCACTATCCCATTTGTCTTCATGGAATACTGCTTAGCTAATTAGACACAGGGACAACTTTTTTTTCCTTGGCGGTACAGCCCCAGTGGGCCTAGGCCTACCTCCATGAACTTCTCCGTTCACTTCGGTTTTTCTAGATCTTACACATTCGGTAGGACTCCTTGGGCGGGTTATCAGCTCGTCGCAAGGTCTCTACCTGTACACAAACGCAGAGAAACGCACACACACAAACTAAACATCCACGCCCTGAGTTGGATTCGAACCCACGATCCCGGTTTCCAAGCGAGCGAAGACAGTACATGCCTTAGACCGCTCGGCTACCGTGACCGGCCAGGGACAACTTTACCTTACTTTTTTTTCCCCCTTGGCACTACAGCCCCAGTGGGTCTAGGCCTACCTCCATGAACTTCTCCATTCACTTCGGTTTTTCTAGATCTTACACATTCGGTAGGACACCTTGGGCGGGTGATCAGCTCGTCGCAAGGCCTCTACCTGTACACAAACACAGAAAAACGCACACAAACATCCATGCCCTGAGTGGGATTCGAACCCACGATCACGGCTTCCGAGCTAGCGAAGACAGTGCATGCCTTAGACCGCTCGGCTATCGTGATCGGCTTACCTTATTTTATTCTATTATATTTTGTTGCTTATTTAACGACGCTGACTACCTGAGAATACATGACTTCGATTAATAAATTGATTGATGAATTAGTACGAGTAATAAACTGAATAGGATGCCGATGGAAGTGGCCGTGGTATAATATGAGGTTCTATGCCCAAATGTACTTGAAGAATCTGAGGAAAACCACGAAATCCTTCAGTGAGTATAGTTAGTGTTCCGGCCGAGACTCGAATGGGTCACTTCCCTAGAACAAGTCAGAAGCGTCACCTCTTAAAACAGCTTGCTCGCTGGTGGGTTTAACCTCACTTTTGTGAATCACATAGGTCTGCTCTTGATATGAGCACTTCATGTTACAGGTACATGGCCGAATGTACGAGGGTTGTTTGAGAAAGTTACTAAATAAAAGCTTGGGTTGTCCGAGGAAACTTATGGGTAAAAAACTAAGTATAGCTTTCGAATTTTGTTCAATCCAAAATTCGAATTTTCGTATCGGAGATCTATCCTGACCCCTGGATTTTCGTAGTTTTCCTCCGTTCCTCCAGAAAAATGCGGGGATTTTACCTTAAAACTAATTTTCTCTCAACTTTCTTTACAGCTGTCCTTTCATAAAGTTTTATATAATACCTCATACAGCAACTGTAAATGGCCAAAAATCGAAGAGGAAATCTCGTATGGAAACTGCAGATCGCGATATTTCTCTCCTTAGTGAGCAACATGTGACCAGCATGAGAAAACGTGGTGTTTTAAAGAGAATAAGTCACTCCTGATAGTCGCTCACCTGGTCAGTAAACATTCTTTTTCGTAATACAACACTCCATTGTCTTCTTCACTATAACCCGTCACTGGTTATTATCCTGAGGCAGTTGAATCCAATCCACATCCTTCCTTGAGGTAACTGGTAAAAGGTAAAGTTGCCCCTGTCCTTAACTAATTAAGCAGTACGTCATGAAGGCGTGTGGGGAAGTGGATGTATAGATCTACATTTTCTTGACTTCGGCACTAGATGGAGGTGAATGGTCAGCTTCACGCCCTTGCCGCTTTACCCCCGGGAAAAATTCGCGATTCCCATTGGGTAGTAAGCTGGGTGGTCCTCAGTGTCAGTCTGGACGACGTGGAGAAGTGGAAGTTCTTGACCCTACGGGAACTCGAACTCCAACTCCTCGGTCGTCCAGCCCACAGCCAGTCACTAGACCGACTGCGCTATCCCGGGTCCTCTTATTTCTTTCAGATATATTTTAATATTATCCGTCCTCTCCTCCTAGGTCTCCCCATTCGTCTCTCTCCTTAGAGGTTTCCCAGCACAACGTTTCTCTTTCATTAATATCTGTAATTCTCTTAGAGTTCTCTTCGGAACCTTCAGAACTACAAACTTTCTCCTCCAATCCAGACAATAAACGAAAGCCTCAGAAGGATATACGAGTATTATGCCTTGCCACTGTGCATTTGCGATACTTATCCGTTCTTTGTGTATCATATTCTGTAGCATTAACAAAATCTGAATATCAGGGTAGACCTTACGTAAATACTATGTAGGTCTACCGTACAATGTGGTCACGTGGTTGTGTGACGGATAAGTGTGGGTTCTAGATCTGATGATTGGATTTATTGGACGTCTCTATTACAATTACGCTTGATTACAACAGCTTACACATTGGACTCCGTCTTAACGACGTCTGTCTGACGAATCTCTTTGAGGAATCTCTCACTGCTGTCTGAATTTCGGACTGGCCTCTAATCCCTCGAATTCCGGATCTCTCTTCTACACTCTACAGTGTGATTCACTCCTGCGAATCAATTACGAGTCCTTTTATGTCCCGGTGCCGACCGCAGAGAGAACACACACTTGAACGGTTCCTCTGTGGTAATCTACGTATCCTTTACCACGGGAATGCGTGTTTATCAAACCATTGGTCAGTAACAGTCTATTCCATAGTTCCAAGGGTAACGTACTCAGCGAAACACCGCCCAGAAGATGATCATATTCCGGCTTTCAGGCGTCATGTCACAATGTGATACTCTGTTTGTCCCCAATTGACATGTTGTTCAGTCGTATAATCTGTCGCTAGAAATATTCTGTAGCTACCTTTGTAAATGCAGATAGACCTACATTAATGTTTGCCCATATAT